AAATAATGTAGGAATAAATAATGAGATATTAAGGCTTTAATGACTCCAAATAATGTAGGAATAAATAATGTAGAAATAAATAATGAGATATTAAGGCTTTAATGACTCCAAGAGTGTTGGCAACAACCTCTGGTCATTACTTACTCTCATATGACAACATTTTTTTGGCTTTTTAAAAAACGTTAGTTGGCTCAGTCAATTTTCTTCTCAACAGGTTACCATGTTATAAAACCTAACACCAGTGAAAGTAGCTTAGTTAGGAGAAACACATTCTAACAGAGTTAAGAGATTAATTCTAATCAGGGGCTGCTTCCAATCCGTGCCCCTGGAGCCACTCAGCTCAACCACAATGGGACCTGGACACCACCGGCCTGGCTCCTATTCTATATCCCCTTTCTGACCCCCAGAGCCCCCAGCCTGGCCCCCTGCACCTCAAGCCCATCCCAGCCTCTGCCTGGCTCTTCATACTTGCACCATGTACCCCCAACTCGCCTCCCAACACTCCACTCCCACAGGTTATCCCAGCATGCATCTTCTGCCTGGCCTCCTGCACTTCACACCACCAGCCCACACCCCCAAATACCCTCTGCCTCTTCCAGATCATACTCCCTGTCTGGTTCCCTGCACCACCAGTCCTCCCTACACAACTTTCCAGATGAGCTTCTCACTGGTGACCATAGTGCAAACCCAAGGCAGCAACCGGGGCAGGGGCTGCGGACTGCCAAGCAGCAGGGCCCATGGGGGCTGGCTTCAGAGTGGCATGTGCATTGGGACGCTAACGTGAAGGCCCAGCAGCATTCGTGGTACCTCCATTAGCAGCTCCAAGCTTCTCGGTGCCTGAACCACAGCCATGATCGTACCATCCTGGGAGCAGGAAGTGGCTGTGGAGAGGGCAGGAGTGCTTCTCTGACAGCCTGCCTGGGTGCCGCTTCCTGGTCCTCAGAGCCCCTGGGAGCATTTTTCTCGGAAGCCCAGCTAGGGGCTGCTTCCTGCTCCTTGGAGCCCCAGCTGGTTGGCAGCTGCCAAGTCAGCCTGTAGGTAGACTATGGTGTAAGTACAACGATCCCTAAGGTAGAGCAGCTTCTGCTGGTTGGGCCCCCATAACCTTATGGGCCTTGCTATGACAGCACCTCTCACACCATTGTAGCTATGCTACTGAGGAAACTGGCACTGCCACCAACCATAAGAGACTCTATCTTTCCAGTGAATAAAAGACTTCAATCTCCAACACTGTCAGTGTAGCATGTTTCACCAACATGGAACTTAAACGTGACCAGAAAGGAATTGGGAATAGTAAAAACTGAAGGATTTTATTACCCCATACTAGTTAGAGTTGGGCATTAGGTTCAGATCTTTCCTACAATGCTCAACAAATCACCTGAGCTGGAGGAACAGTCACTAACCCTAACAGTCACTAGGTCTAAAAAGCTTAATCTTTATACTTAAAAATAGAGTAGACAAAATACTAAAAGTGCACTGTAGGGAACAATCCTACTTTAGCAGGGGGGATAGGTTTAATAACCTACCAGGACATTTTCGTCTCATTTCTGATTCTGTGAGTAAGTCAGTCTTCACACTTTCTTGACCAAAGCATATAAATTATGTGGACTGTTTTTGTGGTATGGAACCCTGTCTAATGTGGATCACACTTGGATGACTAAACTTCAGTTTTCATTCTGATCTTACTATTCATTTAACAACAATAACATTTTAATCTTTTGATCTAAACAGTAGACAATGATTTTCTTCAGTTTTTTAAAACCAATATTAAAACAGAACATATTTTATAATCTATTGCATATGTCTACCATACTGCCAGTATTACAATAATACTTTTTAGCAAGATTGCAATCACAAATATTGCGCTAAAAATGCCAGTTGTAATTTAATTAATGTTATTGTCAAATACATTTAATAGTTTAATCACAGTCATAAAACTGATTCATACTGTTGGTTTTAGAGACTTTTGAGCAAAGTGATTGGAGTTTATACTTTGCACCAGACAACCCTGATAAAATTTGTTACAAATTCTATTTGTCTACACCAGCAGGACCAAGCATTGAGAAAATTACTGAAGAGATTGATGAAGATAATGAAGAAGATTATTCCGTGGAGTATCAACCAGTTCAAGAAGATACAATTAAAACACTGAATTTTGTTATATCTGAAAGCCAAGAAGGTAAAAGAATCTCTGCTAATTTTGATGTAAAAATTTAGAAGAGAAAACCTTTATATTTCTACTTTTTATTACCATCCTTTATATTTTATCAAATAATTATGTAATATTTGGTTTAAAAAAAGTATTTTGTTTCCCTAGCCTATAGACTGTATAGTAACTATAAAACATCCTTTTTTGTGGTGTGTGAGATATTGTCATTTCAGCTTTTTCTGAGTTGTTCTTTAGAATTTGGAGGTATGCCTTATTTCCTAGCTAGCTAAATACACTGTTAGGAAGTTGTAGACATATTTCTCCCCAAAATAAAAATATAAACAAAGAGGTCTTAATTTTAAATCGGTAGATGAAGAACTGCCACCAATTAATCATGGGAACCCAATCTCGGACCGAAGGAGTACTTTTCAGGCACATCTGGCTCCTGTAGTGAGCCCCAAACAGGTTAGTAAAGCTTGTAAGACAGATTTGTATCCTACAGTTTTGTGCCTGATTAAATACCACTGATGTACTTGGAACTATCTGAATGCATCTCTATTTTGTGAAATGTATGCTAATACTGTTCTGATAAGAACCAGTCATTATCATTCACTATTTGCTGAATCTATTCCCTGTGATACTTCCCATTAATGCAGTTGTCCCATCTCACTGTTGAAGAAGGTAAGTATTATTATCACTTGCTTTCAAGTGGACTAGGCATGGGATTGGGAGTGAGGAGATTTGGTTTCTAGTCCAGTGGCTCTCAAACTTTTTTACTGGTGACCCCTTTCACATAGCAAGGCTCTGAGTGCGACCCCCCCTTATAAATTAAAAATACTTTTTTATATATTTAACACCATTATAAATGTTGGAGGCAAAGCAGGGTTTGGGGTGGAGGTTGACAGCTCGTGACCCCCCATGTAATAACCTCATGACCCCAAGGTGTCCTGACCCCCAGTTTGAGAACCCCTGTTCTAGTCCTAGTTGTGACATTGACATATTGTGTAACCTTGGGCAAACCAGTTAAAGTGTGTTTCTACTCTGAAAAGGGACTGTATACACATTGAATTCCTAGCTCGTCTGTAATCTTTTTGTATTCTTAGTCACATTTTCTCGTTTTAGTGATGCAAATAATAATTATTTTTCAGTCTCTTTGGTACTATGTAGCCAATACAACTATGGCAAAGTGATCTGGAGTCTTGTGCATCATTAACAAAATTGTTTGTGTCTATTATACCTGAACAAAAACAGAAAACAAGAGTAATGGGTGCAATTTAGCCTGTTCTGTAGCATTACCTTTTCTGCTCTTCTTTGGCTGCTCATAAGGGGATTAGTTGTTTAAAATGCACAACACTTTTGTGGTTGGCATTTACGTTTTTGACAGCTGCTACAAAGAGGGGAATGATGGTTAGGGCATTAGCCAAGGACTTGGGAGTTCAAATCCCTGCTCCACCACAAGAAGTTTGTGTGATCTTGGGCAAATCACTTAGTCAATGTTTCTGTTTCCCACCTGTAAAATGGGGCTAATAGTACTTCCCTACCTATCAGGCATGTTGAGCATAAAATGCATTAAAGATTGTGAAGTGCTCAGATTCTGTGGCAACGGGGGCCATATGAGTACTTAAGATATATAGAACAAACCTGTTGGAGGTAATAGAGTTGCATGGTTGTCATGGCAGGCATAATGTGAGCTACAGAATCTTTATCACTGGACATATACATATTATTTTGACTATGGTGGCTAGAGAGGCATTAAAATTCAATCCCTCTGGATAATATGGCTTCAGGAAAGGAGGGAATCAGTACCACCAATGTTATTTCCTCTTCTTGCTTTAGGATACTTGCACCTATTGGTCACAGTTCTTAAGCTATGCATAGCACAGATACTGATTACAGGAAGCCCATAACCAGTGGGTGTGCGCTTCCTAAAGCATATATTTGTGATGTGCACAGTAGTATCTCCACAGAGATGTACTCATCTGAACAGGTTTTTAAAGCTACCTGTGCAGAAAATTAAATAATTCTTCTCCTTTCCTCCCTTCATTCCTCCTCTCGAAATACTTAGGAAATTTCAGACAGACAGGGTTTTGATTGGGCAAAGTTAAAGTCATGGTATGTGTGGTTAAAACTGGGATCATAACAAAAACTAGCTTCATCAGTAACTATGGAGGGAGTAGCATCTATTCACAACACTTTGCCTACTTCATAATATTAATTAATATTTGTAAAGCACTATGAAAATGTAAAGTGCTATGTAACTTCTAATTATTGTTCAGTATTTAACATTTTTTTAACAGCTTCAATTAACTTTTAATATGGTTTTAATTAATATTACCGGTACTTTTAATTGGTATAGTAATTATTATTTTAAAACTGAAAACAAAGGTAATGGCTGCAATTTAACATGTTTTGTAGCATTACTTTTTCTACTCTTCTTTTGCTGAAGGGATTAGGTGTTTAAAATCCAAAAAGCTTCCATGGTTGGTATTTAAATTTTTGAAAGATGATAAAAAGAGTTGACCTGGTGTTTGGAAGATAACTTTTGGTCTTTTATGTTTTGAGTTTGCAAAGGGGCTTCTTTACCCTCCCTGGGTCTACGTTCATTGGGCGTTATTTATTATTCTGATTTAATATTTTGTGTTAACTTATTCTTTTGAAATTTAAAAAACCAAAACATGCACATTGCATATATAGTCTATGCAACTGGATTGTTCGATCATTCTGGAAGGTATCTTTACTTGGCATCTTTTCCACAAATATACTTGAAAGTATAAAATACTAATCCAGTTTGAAAGTGTTATCTCCCTTTTAGTATCCTCGTTTCCTCCACCAAACAAATTAATTCATACAAGATACACTGAAAAAATTATTCATAAATTCTTACTGGTGAGATGAAAAAGCAATAATGAATTCCCTAAGCCAGTTTGTGCTTACCTACAGGAGGAGGGCAAAAGGCCAGGAAAATATGTGCTTACCCTCCAGATTGTCAGATGATTGTCCCTTCTACTGGGAGGAGTTTAGGAAGTAAGGATTGGGCTGAGTGTTTGGGCTCCTAATCTCGCAGATTCCAATGGTTCACAGTGAAAGAGAACCCTCTTGCTGTGGTTTCAGAGGTGTCCACTTGGAGGGCTGGCTTCTCCCCATGGTTCTCCATTGGCTTCCATCCCAGCCCTGGCAGTATGTTTCCTTCAGGTCCCATGCATCCATTGGTTGAGTCTCTCTGGAGTTGTGCAGTAGCAGTTACAGAGAAGCCAAGCTCTTAAGGAGTTAATACTGTATTAACTCTCAATTGGATATCCACTTAGATATCTGCATGGTCAGCTAGGGATGATGCATCAGAAGACTGGTGCTGTTCCACCTCCTTTGGCCCCACCTCCAAAATAATGTGAAAGGAGGACCCTTCAGAGCTCCACTAGAGCTTTTGTGGGATCCTAGGGTGACGCCAGGTAAAAAAATGCCAAGCAGTGGCTACTTATCTCCCTGTATGTCCCAACTGAGAGAGCTACTGGGTTCCATTCCTTTGCCCACAGAAGTGTGGGGAACAATTTAGCCACTAGTGTGAAATCAGATTAAGCTGATTTAGTAAAATCACACTGTATGCTACTGAATATGCCTTTATAAGGGAGAAATTGATTTAAATCTGTTATGAAAAAGATGTGTATGTATTTAACTCTATTGCAGAGTTAAAAAGTTGAAAAAGCAGAGGAGGGAAATATGTGTGGGGAAAAAAAACCCAACATTTTTAATGGAAATTCTTTAGAATTTATTATGAGAGGAGCATACAAAATTTGAAATAAACAGAACTTCAGGCCTCTAATTTTGTATCCTAGTAACGAGTATGGAAAATTAAATCATTTAGAAATATAAAACATTCCAGATACATCTGTTTGAAATAACAGATGAGATCTGCCCAAATAATGGTCTAGAGATTAAAAATAAAAAATCCCCCACACTTTTGTTCACAATCTGCTGTAAATAAAATTCATGGAGCATCCTGGAAAACTTGTACTAGAAATAACTGCACTCACTCTCAGTTTGAATATGTTGGATCACAGTTTAAAACTGTGCCATAACACGTTTGCAAAGATTCATCTGAATGGACGGAATGAAACTCTGTTATGTGTAATATCACCTAAAATAGTACATCATAGATTCTAAGGGGAGACGGGACCATTATGATCATCTAGTCTGACCTTCTGTATAACACAGGCCATAGAACTTCCCTAAAATAATTCCTAGAACATACTTTTTAGAAAAGCGTCCAATTTTGGTTTAAAAATTGTCAGAGATGGAGAATCCACCACAACCTTTGGTAAATTGTTCCAATGGTTAACTACTCTTTCCATTAAAAATGTATGCCTCATGTCCAGTCTGAATTTGTCTAGCTTCAACTTCCAGCCATCGGATCGTGTTATACCTTTCTCTGTGAGATTGAAGAGCCCATTATTAAATATTTTTTCCCCGTGTAAATACGTTTAGACTGTAATCAAGTCACCCTTAACCTTCTCTTTATAAAGCTAAAGAAATCGAGCTCCTTGAGGCTATTGCTATAAGGCATGCTTTCTAATTCTTTAATCATTCTCATGGCTCTTCTCTGGACCCTCTCCAATTTATCAACATTCGTCTTGAATTGTGAGCATCTGAACTGGAAACACTGTTCCAGCCCAGTCGCACCAGTGCCAAATACAGAGGTAAAATAACCTCTCTGCTTCTTGAGATTCCCCTGTTTATGCATCCCAATATCTCATTAGCTCTTTTGGCCAGAGCATCACATTGGGAGATTATGTTCAGCAGACTATCCACCATGATCCTCAAATCTTTTTCAATCGCTGCTTCCCAGGATAGAATCTCCCATCCTGTAAGTATAGCCTCCATTCTTTTTTCGTAGATGTATACATTTACATTTAGCCCTATTAAAATGTATATTGTTTGCTTGTGACCTGTTTACCAAGCAATCCAGATTGTTCTGAATCAGTGACCTATCTTTTTCGTTGTTTACCATTCCCCCAGGTTTTGTGTCATCTGCAAACTTTATCAGTAATAATTTTGTTCCTGGATATTAATAAAATTGTTAAGTGGTGTAGAACCAAGAACCAATCCCACTGGAAATGGACCCTCTTGATGACAATTCCCAATTTACAATTAGCCAGTTTTTAAGCCATTTGCAGTGTGCCATGTGAATTTTATATTGTTCCAGTTTTTAATAAAAATGTTATATGATATCAAGTCAAAAGCCCTACAGAAATCTAAGTATATTACATCAACACTGTTGCCTTTATTAACCAAACTTGTAACCTCATAAGAAAAAAAGATATTAAGTTAGTTTAACTGGACCTATTTTCCATAAACCCATGTCAATTTACATTAATTACATTACCCTCCTTTATTAATCAAGTCCTGTATCAGCTTCTCCATTATCTTGCCTAGGATTGACGTCAGGCTGACAGGCCTATAATTATCTGGGT